AAAACCCCAAAACCCCAAAACCCCAAAACCCCAAAACCCCAAAACCCCATGAGAATGATAGGAAATGCTTTTGAAAAACTATAATTTAAAGGGAAATTTGTTAAATAGCATAAAAAATATTTGTTAATAAAAATGATAACCTTAAATGAAGCTTTTGAGCCATTAAAAAAGTTTAATAATGCTCACTGTAGATTTTATAGTTTAGCAATAATTTCTTCAAGGTTTAAACCTTGTTATAGAAGTTGTTTTATATAATTTATCTTTGATCTATTGGTGATCTTATCATCGTTGTATAAACCGTAATATATGTCTTTTGCTCTAGTCAAAAGTTCTCTGTCAGATTCTCTTGATTGTCTGATTTCTTATTTGTACATGTAATGGTCACTCATTCTGGGATGAGCCTTGCTCATATGGCCCCCCAATGCAGTGGCCTGAGTGAAAGATCTTTCGCAATATCTGCAGTTGAAGTTCTTTCTCTTGTTTTTATAATGAGAAATGTAGATTGATTGTCTAGTAGTTCTCTTTTTCTTAATAATTCTCTTAATAGGTCTTAAAATGGTATCTTCTAGAGATATGCCAGAGACCAAAGATGGTTGAATAAATTGTTCTTCTATCTTGTGGTCATGATGAATCTCCATTTCCTGAACAAATATGTCCTATTAGAGGTTTTCTCCATCTAATTATGATGAGTTTTGGCATTATTTCAGATTAATAATCACTTTTGAGTCGTAATTTTAGATATCCTTCTTAAGTTAATCTTCCTCAACATTGACCACAACATTCACATCATCGTAGACAGAATTCAACTTCTTTGTAAGCTAATGAATATATATGTTAGTTTCAATATCAAACTCAGTTTTAGTAGTATTATTACATTTTTCAGGGTATAGAAAGAAGTTAGGATTTGGCTAAAACTCCTCATTTTGATAGTAAGCTTACTCTTTTATATATTATTATTAATTATTTGAGGGAGAAATCCCTTATAGAACAGAATCTACGTAATGAGTATTGATAAATGTCGCAAAGCTGTCAAAGTTTGATATAAGTATTTGTTGATGATTTTTTTGACGATGATTATTTTCATCATTTTTCTACATTATTTATTGGTATTAAAGTTAGGTTATACAAGAGTGTGATTGATTTCTTTGCTATTCAACCATTTTATTCATCTCATGTATGTCTCCACTAATTTATTTAGTTTATTTCGTAATACCTTCATACTATGTTGAAAGATTCGGGTCGCTTAAGTTAATTGAATTATTGAAATCTTATATTTTTTATGTTGTATCTTTAGTATTTATCGTATTCAGTTAGCTTTGATAATAATAGGGAGAGTTTTCAAGATTTTCATCTCCGCTCGCATCTGTTGAATGCTCACAATAAATCTGATTATATTTTTTAATCTTGTCAATATCAAAGATTTTAATCAACTTAAGCCCATCTTACTATTATCTTATAGTTTCGTTGTTTGAAAATCTCAAATGCTGCTAATTTTGTTGTCCATTTAACCTTTGATAAAAAATAGATTCATAGCACTTTAGATCTTCGGTTTAATTTAATGTATCTAATGCGAGCATCAATAATTTCGTGTGATGTTGAGAATTATAAAAACAATGATTATTGTTTATTAATTTAAGTTTTCAAGTATATTTCTTTATAAAATCTACCAATTAATTCATATGGGGTTTTGGGGTTTTGGGGTTTTGGGGTTTTGGGG